CTATTCTTTTGAGGATTTGCTCATTTGGAACTTTTATTTACAACCCTGCTTCTTTTCTGGCTCTATTTTCCCCCATCTGTTTTCAATTTTCATTTCTGCACTTTCCATAATTTTTTAAAAAATTGATCTACATGTGAGTGCTTGAAGGCAGCTGCACTGTTAGAGTCAACATTGTGTTCCCTGTATCCCTTATTAAAATTAAAATGATAAAATTAAATCACGATCATTAATCATTCAAGAGATGCAAATAAAACAATGAGATATCATCTCACACCAGCAATAACAGCAACATTTAAAGAAAAACAGAAAACAACAAATGCTGGCAAGATTGTGGAGAGATTGGAATGCTCACATACTGCTGGTCGGATTGTAAAATGTTACAGTCAATGTGGAAAATGGTATGGCACTTCTTTAAAAAAGTTGGAAGTAGAAAGACCATATGAGCCAGCAATCCCACTACTGGGCATATAGCCTAGAGAAGTAAGAGGCATGACATGAATAGATATATGTACAATCATGTTCATCACACCATTATTCACAATAACAAAAATATAGAAACAATCTAAATGCCCATCATTGGATGAGTGGATAAACAAGTTATGCCACGTACACACAATGGAACATGAGACAGGGTGAAAGAATAATGAGGAATCTGTGAAATACCTCATAACATGGATGAACCTGGAGGATATTAAGCTGAGTGAAATAAGTCAATCATGAAAGGACAAGTATTGTGTGAGACCAGTATTATAAAAAGTCAAGAAAAGGTTTACACACAGAAGCATTCTTTGATGGTTACCAGGGATGGGAGGATGGTGGTGGTGGTATTACGTGCCGTTGAGTTGGCTCCAACGACCCTGTGTACAACAGAATGAAGCACTGCCTGGTCCTGTGCCAGCCTCATAATGCCTGCTATGCCTGAGCTCATCATTGTAGCCACTGTGTCAGTCCATCTCATTGAGGGCCCTTCCCTTTTTCGTTGTCCCTCCACTTTGCCAAGCAAGATATCCTTCTCCAGGTACTGGCCCCTTCTGATCACATGACCATAGTCGGTGAGATGCAGTCTGGCCATTCTTGCTTGTAAGGAGCATTCCGGCTGGACTTCTTCCAAGACAGATTTGTTTGTTCTTCTTTTAGTCCATGGTATTTTTCCAGTATTCCTTGCAACACCACAATTCAAAGGCATCAACTCTTCATTCTTCCTTATTCTTTGCCCAGCTTTCACATGCATATGAGGCGATTGAAAACACCATGGTGTGGGTCAGGTGCACCGTCGTTTTCAAAGAGACATCGTTGTTCTTCAGCACTTTAAGAAGGTCGTTTGCAGCAGATCTGCCCAGTGCATTGTCTAATTTCTTGACTGCTGCTTCCATTGGTGTTGCTTGTGGATCCAAGTAATGTGAAATCTTTGACAACTTCAACTTCTCTCCATTTATCATGATGCTGCTTATTGGTCTAATTGTGAGGATTTTCATTTTTTTATATGGAGGTGTAATCTATACTGCAATCTGTAGTCTTGAATCTTCAGGAGTAAGTGCATCAAGTCATCTTCACTTTCAGCAAGCAAGGTTGTGTCAGCTGTATGTCACAGGTTGTTAATGACTCTTCCTCCATCCCTCATGCCATATTCTTCTTCATATAGCCCAGCTTCTCTGATTATTTGCTCAGCATACAGATTAAATAAGCATGGGGAAAGGATCCAACCCTGAGTCACTCCCTTCCTGATTTTAAAACCTGCAGTATACTCTTGTTCTGTTTGAACGATAGCCTTCTGGTCAATGTACAGGTTCCTTATGAGCACAAGTAAGTGTTCTAGAATTCCCATTCTTCTCAAAGTTAACCATAATTTGTTATGATCCACACAGTCGAGTACCTTTGCATGGTCAATAAAACACAGCTACAGGAGGGCAAATCACTAGAAGGTAAACGCATATTAACTTGGGTGAAGGGAAAAGCAATAAACAATAAGGGGGAGGGCAGCACAACAGCAGCAAGGCAAAGAAAGACAGTAAGAAGTATGTGAGAGTGAAAGGCAACAAAGGCAAATACTGTTATGTACACAATTCTGCAATAATAGTAATAACATACAACATCTGTGAGTAGATACACAGGTAGGTATGCAAGCTGAACACATGTGGGAAGATGAACGGGAGTATAACCTTGAGTATAACACATTTGGTAGAGGACATTTCTATGTATGTATTTTTGTGTGCTGCAAGTATATCCAAAGATATAGTAGAATATACAAGGGACAAAGTTCTGAAAACTTGTTAGCAATAACCAAACACCTTGAAGGGGAATGAGTCACTGAGGTTGAGGACTTATGACCAGTCTCAGGGAACGTCTAGGTCAATTGGCATAACATAGTCCTCAAAGACAGTGTTCTACATCCTACTATGGTGAGCAGCGACTGGGGTCTTAAAATCTTTCAAGTGGCTGTCTAAGATGCAACTATTGGTCCTTACCTATCTGGAGCAAAGAACAATGAAGACAGTCAAAGACTCAAGGAAGCAATTAGTACAAAGGAGTAATGGACCACGTGAACCACAGACTCCACAATCCTTGCACTGGAAGAACTAGATGGCTACCACTACCAACCACTCTGATCAGGATCAAAATAGAAGGTCCTGGACAGAGAAGGAGAAAAAGAACATCAGAACAATATTCAAAATCATAAAAAAAAACCTGGGCTTACTAGTCTGATAGAGAAAGGTGGAACCCCCAAGGCTGGAACTGAGCCCACCCGTGGGTATCAGCTTTTGGCCAAACAAAGGCCTATAAAGTGAATAATCACGTTAGGGAGGAAAGTACTCCACAGTACAGTCAACTCTATGAGACCAAAAACAAAGCTCAGAGGGCAGGAAGGGACAGGAAAGAAGAGCATGTGGAAACAGGGAACCTGGGGAGGAAGTGAGGGAATTGAAACCAATATCATGAAACAAAATGTTTAGAAATTGTTGGATGGAAAACTACTTTGCTCAACAAACTTTCACCCAACTGCAATAAAAAAAATTACAAATTTAAAGTTACGAACTTAAAACAAGCTCTTATAGAAAATTTGAGGGAGAAGGAAAAGCACGAGGAAAAAAATACTCTTAGTCTCAACACTCAGTAATATCCTAGTGTGTTTACATAGTGTGCTGTATATATTTTACTATAAATTATATAACTCAACCTACTGCCACTGAGTTAATTCTGACTCACAGTGACCCTGTAGGACAGAGTAGAATCACCCCATAGAGTTTCCAAGGCTATATACCTTTATGGAGGCATACTGCCTAATCTTTCTCCTGGAGAATGGCTAGTGGGTTCGAACCACCAACCTTTTGGTTAGTAGGCAAATGCTTTTAACCACTGTGCCATTAGAGCCCCTTCTAATGTATATGTTGTTGTTGTTATGTGCCGTCAAGTCGGGCCCGACTAATAGAGACCCCTCCTTGGGTTCCAAGGTGGTCTCTCTATGGAAGTAGATTGCCCAACCGTCCTTCCGAGGAGTGGCTGTTGGGTTTGAACCCCCAGCCTTCCAGTTAGCAGTCAGATGACTTAGGTACTGTGCCAGTAGAGCTCCTTTAGGCAAATGGGTTTAAAATTGATGAACTGATTTCCATTTAGCAAATTGACAATGTTTTTACTAAGATTCTGTAAGCACAGAGTTGAAGAATTTCTAAAGGAGAGAGAAAGATATTCAGGCTATTTTCATACTGCCAGTCTCACAACTTTGTTTTCTTCTTTTGGTTAAGTATTTGAATTGTTCTATGGAATTTGAGTACAATAATATTCTGAGAGAGTGAGCCCCCATTTAATATACTGAGAAATCCTGATGTTTGGGGTTTTGCCTTGTATGTAAGAATCAGTGAGCATCTTAAAACAACTTCTTACAGCTTCTTGAAATGTGAGATATCCCTTGAGGAAAATATGCACCGTGAAAACAGGAACTTTTTCTTCTTTACTGTTGTGCTCTGGTGGTAAGGTGTCTGCTAACTAGAAGGTTTGTGGTTCAGACTCACCAGCTGCTCTGCAGGAGGGAGATGAGGCAGTCTACTTCTGCAAAGATTTACAGCCAAAATTGACTAAGTGGCAGTGGGTTGTTGTGCTTTTAGCATTAAGCATAAGGCCTGGCTTTTCAGAGGCACAGAATAAATAATTGTTGAGTGGGGAACAAAAGTATAGGATTGATTCCCAAACCTTTTGGAGTTGTGGTATCCCACTGTTTTTATTTCATGGTACTTTCCTGTCTTTCTGCTGGAAGTAATCTTATGTTCAATGAAGGTAGATTATTATAAAAATTTGGAAGATTTAGTGCCATTTGTGCAAATGATTGGAAATAATCTATTTTGTAAGTTGTAAGTTACTATTTAATATACCCTTGACATTTGTGACCTTTATGAATTGTCAGATTTGGGAAAACATAGTTTCCTTAGTATCTTATTATGATGTATTATTTTAAACAAAGAAGCAGACGTTGAACTTTTCATGAATGGTATTGGTTATGTGACCAGTTGGAAGAGCAGTGCTGAGATGCCAGGGCTGAACAGCTGGCATGGTTTGCTTACCAGCTGATGGCTCCCTTCTTGCACACTGGCTTTGTAGCACACATTCATCACATTGATTCTTTATGAGAATGACCCGTGTAACTTGTACTATGTACTTTATGGGTCTTTTGGAGAGAGTTTCAGATGTTACATTTCTTCCCAAAGATTACTGTCATTATTGGAAAAATGCAACCCAAACCAAACCCAGAACCATTGAGCTGATTCCGACTCACAGCAACCCTGCAGCAAAGAGTAGAACTGTCCCATAGGGGTTTCCAAGGCTATAAATCTTTATGGAAGCAGATTGCCAATCTTTCTCCCCTGGAGTGGAGTGGCTAGGTGGTTTGAACTGCAGAACTTTTGGTTAGCAGCCAAGTGCTTTAACCACTGTGCTGCCAGGGGCTCCTGGGAGAATGTAGGGCTTTAAAAAATTATATTATTTGTGCTGTTTCCTTTGATTTTTATTAGGTAAAAAGGCTCCAGTTTTGTTTAGTAAAGAGATGATTGAGTCCATGAAGGAAGGGTCGGTTGTGGTGGATTTAGCTGCTGAGGCTGGCGGAAACTTTGAAACTACAAAGCCAGGAGAACTTCACATTCACAAGGTATAGCAAAAATGTCTCTCTCTGAAACCGTTGTCACGTTTTTTGTGATTTGTGAGGGGATGTTGTTCCTTTAAATATTTGGAGAAACTGAGACTCATTTTTAAAATTTAAAACAGGTGCATTTAAAGCCCCTTTTCAAATGTGTATTTCTGTGTATATGATGTGTGCATATTTATAAAGGTATATAATTTCAAACTTAGTCTGACTGTGAGAATTATCCTGGAAAGAATGTGAGCATATGGTAATTGGCCTTTCTGACTGGATTTTTGTTCCTCTAGGGAGTTACTCACATAGGTTACACAGATCTTCCCAGTCGAATGGCCACTCAGGCCAGCACCCTGTATTCCAACAACATCACTAAACTTCTGAAGGCCATCAGCCCTGACAAGGATCATTTCTATTTTGACGTGAAAGATGACTTTGACTTTGGTACGATGGGTCATGTCATTAGAGGAACTGTAGTGATGAAGGTAAGTGAAGAGATCTGTTTCTTCCTATGTTTCCAGTGTCATTTTATGTGAGGATTTCTGTTCATGGCAGAATCCTATTTTAGAACTGACATATTCCAATAAAGTGTTTTATGTGTTGAGTTTGTGCCAATAGAAATGCCAAAAGATACAAAGAAAAATATTACAAAGATTTATGTACCCATGTGACCCACCCCAAAGATACGCCACTTTTGAAAAGAGAAGCAAAAACAAAACAAAACAATTGAATAAAGTAAAAAATGGGTTCCTCTGACCTGTCACACTTTTAAGGGGTTGATTTGTATCCTTCTTCTGTGTATGTTATAGGCACATACAAATTACAGATCTATGTATGTGTGTATAACATATTTGTGTATATATAAATTATATATTTATATTATATTATAACTTATTATAATAGTCATACAAAGTTGTTTTAAAAAGACCAGGGTTTTTCAGTAGTACAGCTCTTCTCTGCATTTGTGAAATGCTGCGATTGAATTTTAAAAAACACTGTTTTGTGATTTCTGTTAGGATGGAAAAGTGATTTTCCCAGCTCCTACACCAAAGAATATTCCTCAAGGTGCCCCAGTAAAACAGAAGACAGTGGCTGAGCTGGAAGCTGAGAAAGCAGCTACTATAACTCCCTTTAGGAAAACAATGACAACAGCTTCTGTGTACACAGCAGGTGAGGTAGTCAGTCCCATTTATTAGAATTTAGTGCTGATGATTTGAATTTTGTAGGCATAATTAGTAAATCAAATGCAGATATCCTTTGGATTTAATTAGTAATTGGGCTTGATAAGATAGATGTTTTTGTAAACACACTAGCACTCGTCTCACTTCTGCAGAATTGATTACTGTCTCCAAGAGAGAGATATGCTAAATACTGGAATGAATGCATAAGCCACAGTGTACAGGCTACTAATACTTTTCCTTTAGTAAAATCATTTAAAAAATCGTCATTATTTGTTTTTTATCTGAACCAAATATATTGAATGATGTACATCAGAATGTGTTGACATAAGTTCCAATAAGTATGGTTATGGTTTGTCTGTGGTTTGTAAAATATCAATTGTGATTATCTGCACAGTTGGGGAACACTGGGGTGCCAGTGTTTACTTGAAGAATAAACACTATGATACAAATGTAACCCTTAAATGTTTGATTAACATTCTAAGTTATTCACTTAGTAAAGAATATTCAATATTTTAATTTTCACCTCTCTGTACAACTTAGCAGATTTTTAAAAAAATTAATCCTTATGAAAACTCTTAAAAAATTATTATAAAATAAGGATAAATACTCATTCTGTGAATTCTTATAGTCTGAAATATGGTCATTTGATTTTAAATTAGTTTTTCTCTCACAGAATAAATTAAAAATGTTTAAATCTGCTTAGAGCCAAAACAAAACAAACAAACAAAAACTTTAAAGAATTAAGGACCAGAACCAGACACACAGAATTCCTGTAGCCTCAGCATTCTCCAAATCCCACGTGAGTCCAGATGTTTTAAAGCTAAATGTGTAACTCTCCTTGAATAAAGAGCAAGTCTCAGCAAAATGACTGAAAAAGCTTCTAGTTGTGAACATTGTGGATAGGTGGGGCAGTGTCCCTACTTGCACTTACTTAGTAACAAGAAAAGAAAGAATAGAAACTAGGTTATTGCGTTGTACATGGAGAGTATTATCAGTAGGACTGTAAGTTTCCATTTCTCTTTGAAATTCACAAGACAATTAGCAAGGCGTATATAGTGATTTATTTTTCTAGGTTGCTCTTAGGTGTGTTGAGTCATAATTTATTATATTTTAATAGATATGACAATGGCATATTACAATGAATAAAAGGATGGCTTTATATTTGTTTTTCTTTACCTTGTCTCCTTTATATTAAAAAGAAGTATTTTTCTTATATACATTAGGATCTGTTTGAATAGCATTTTTCAAATGCTTTTCTTTTTTTTTTTTTATTCTCTTTTGTCCTCTTTCTCATCTGCTTATACAGATTATAGAGTGCATTTGATACTATTAAATATGTTGTTGTTGTTGTTATGTGCCCTTGAGTTGGACCCGACTCAGCAACCCCTCCTTGGGTTTCCGAGGCAGTATCACTACGGAAGCAGATTGCCCCATCTTTCTTCCGAGGAGTGGCTGGTGGGTTTGAACCGCCAGCCTTCTGGTTAGCAGTCAAGTGCCAAGTGCCTTAGGCACTATGCCACCAGAGCTTCCGCTATTAAATATAAAAAAACACATTATTTTGGTAAATGATTGATGAGAAAACCTTCAGTTGTGTGATTACTATCTTAGATGCCTCATACAGTGGACTGCAGATTATGATAAATTAGTCTCTTAGACTAATGTGGGGATAATAATAGCTAACATGTATTGAGTTAGGCATTATGCTAAACAGTTCACATGCATTAACTCACTTATGCTTTATAAGAACTCAATGAAGTGGGTGTATTATTATTTTCCTTTTACACGTGAGGACAGAAAGTTTTAATAATTTTACGGATGAGGACACTGAAGCATAGAGAGGTTAAGTAAATGGCCTGAGATCACAAAGCTAGAAGCAAAGAGACAGAATTTGAACCGGGCAGTCTGACTTAAGAAATTATATTTTTAATTATAACTTTATACTGCTTTTATAATGTTTAACTGGAAAGTAAAACAATATTCTATCTAACTCTCCCTCCAGATGGTTCACAGGCATGAGTTTGAACCCTGGAAATATTAAATGTAGATGGGAATATATAAATTAAAACTACAGTCTTACTAGATGTTTTAAAGCAACATTAATATCAATTCCTAGATGTTCCAGCTCTGCCACTTGTAAAATGATAGTTCATACCAAGTAAGGAAGGTATCTTACTCAGGAAAATTAAGTTCCAGCTCCCTGGTCACTTGCTATCATGTTTTTATTGACCAGTAGGTAACCCTTTCTTCTATGGCAGAACAGCCGACCACATGTTTGCTATTAAGGCAGGCGATAATTAAAGATGTGTGTTCAGAGCTGACTGTTTATAGTCTGCACATTCTTAATTTAATTTGTATTTTTTTTTTCCTTTTCTTTGTAAAATCTCGTTTGCTGAGTTGGTGTTGAGGCTGGAGCTGACTGCCCTGGCCAGCAGTCCAGTCCAGATTCAGGAGCAATTGCAAAACTTCTGTCCCGGGTGGGTGGAAGCCATATGTTTTGGGGAGGTACTCGAGTGAATGAAATCCTTCCTACTCTTTTAAAACCCTTCTTCCTTGGCCAAATCTGAGAGTGACATAAAATTGGCTTCATAAAAGTCCTGTCTTGTAAAGGTTGTGTCTTGCCCAAGTAGAAAATGGCTTGGTAGATCCTCTGTAGAACTATAATTTGGGAATAAAAGTGCTTGTGTAAACACATGTGGCTTTGTCAATGAAAGTTAAAACAGGGAAGAGGACGAGTTGCCCAGAGAAGATTGTACAAATTGTTACAAAGGTGACTCATAAATACCACCAGATCTTTACAATTTTTGGGGGGTTGGTTGTCCACAAAGAACTTGACCCTCCCCTCTGGCCCACCCCACTTCTCAGTCATGAAATGTCTAAAATATCCAATAGTTATTGGCTAAGGATTGGAATTTGAAAGCATTGACAACTCCGTGTGTGTGTGTGTGTGTGTTTGCTTTTCATCTTACTGAGATAATTAAATGTCAGCTCATACTCTTCACTCTCTTTCTTTAGGACTCACTACTATGCTGGGTTTGGGCATTGCGGCTCCCAATTTGGCCTTTTCTCAGATGGTGACAACGTTCGGCTTGGCTGGCATTGTTGGTTACCACACCGTCTGGGGAGTGACCCCTGCTCTCCACTCACCACTGATGTCTGTGACTAATGCAATCTCAGGTTTGATTCTTGCATATATTTCCTCATCCTAGGTTTTCATCAGGTTGTTTAACTCTAGGAGTGTTTTCAATGAGGTATAAAAGTCTCCATTTTCAAATTGTATTGCTTGGAGCCTGGGTTCTTTGTGGGGTGAATCAGGCTCCCACAGGGTGTGGCAGGTGGAAATTTGAAGCAGAAGATGCCATGGGAGTGTCAGGCCTTTAGGATACTCCCATTTCATGCTATGCAGTTCTACTGTTACTTCATTCAGTTAGGATTTCCTTTAAGAAAAGGATTCCACTGGTAAAATTTGAAAACCAATCTTTCACAGAATGATAGTTACAACATCCTCTAAGGGATCTTCAGAAAAGAGCTCTGGTGGTGTAGTGGATAAGGCATTTGGTTGCTAACTAAAAGGTCAGTGGTTCAAACCTACCGTTTGCTCCATGGAAGGAAGATGGGGCAATCTACTTCTGTAAAGATTTACAGCCTTGGAAACCCAATGGAGGTTGGTATGAGTCAGATTTGACTTGATGGCAGTGAGTTTCTTTTTGTTTTTTGGTAAGGACTCTTCTTAAATTCCACTCAGCATTCAGTCTTTCAAGATTACAATAGCCCATGCTTGGCGTCAGATTTACTGTGAAGCTTGTGGGACAGGAAACACAGCTTGCCAGTGGGGCAGCATCAGGCATTTCTCTTTGGTTCCAGTTTCATGCAGTCCATGCAGCACTGTACACAGTTGCCCAAGAGCTATTCTCTGTGGTCTGCAGTGATGGCCCAGGTATGAGAGAACAAGACCTAATTAGACAGGTGTGGAAGCTTCTGTGGCTTGGAGGCTTCATGGTCCCAGGAGATGTCTCTTACAACATTCCTATAGTCCTTGCTTCCAGGTCTTCATAGGGAGTATGTCCAGTTTAAGGAGTCACTGTGGTCAAGTAAGGATCTCTGGTGGTGTAGTGCCTAAGGCATTTGACTGCTAACCAGAAGGTTGGTGGTTCAAACCCACCAGTCACTCCTTGGAAGGAAGGTTGGGCAATCTACTTCCATAGTTATACTGCCTCAGAAACCCAAGGAGGGGTTATTATGAGTTGGATCCAACTGGATGGCAATGTGTTGCATTGTGTTTTTGTGGTCAGGGAAGCCCAAACCTATGCCATCTCCATCAGGTATTAATGGTTTATGAATAATTCCGTCTAGTTCAAATTCAGTTTATCCACCAGGGATTACTTTGTACCATAAGCAATGTTGTCTAGTAACATAAGTGATTTATATATTTTTTAGGTTTGCAGGGGAAAGGAGCTACAAAGTTAACCAAAGCAAAACCCAGCCCACTGCCATCAAGTCACTTCTGACTCATAGTGGCCCTACAGGACAGAGTAGGACTGCCCCACAGGTTTCTAAGGCTGTAAATCTTTAAGGAAGCAGATTGTCTCATCTTTGTCCTATGGGGCAGTTAGTTGGTTGGAATTGCTGACCTTCTGCTTAGGAGCCCAATGCTTTAAGTACAGTGCCACCAGAGCTCCTCACAAAGTTAAAGGCAGATGAAATTCTTATGCAGACAGGGAAAGAGTATGTTAATCCTTCACCCACAACAGTACTTCAGTGAGAATGGAGTGAAGGTGTGTTGTCAACCGTCTTTACCAGGGAATGAATTTATATCATTTTGTTGAAGATGCAAGAAAGCTGATACTGAGAATGTTCCTTTTCGTGAAACTGTGTATGTGAGGCCTTTCGGCATGACAGTTGACATGGCAGCATCGCTGTAATTATTCACTGTATTGATGCTTTTCTTTCTAGGGTTGACTGCAGTTGGTGGGTTGGTGCTTATGGGAGGACATTTGTATCCTTCCACAACTTCTCAGGGCCTTGCTGCTCTTGCTACATTCATATCCTCGGTCAATATTGCAGGTACAATGTCAGTGACAGGGCCCAGTGTGCTATTTTTAATGAATGTAAAGAAGCAAATGAAAATCAATACCAAACAGACATTTTGATTTTAAGAATTTAATTGTGCTTTTAATAATCTTTTCACGCAGACCGTAAATGCTCTTGGTAAAGGAAAATCAGTTATTTTGCCCATCTGTAGTTTTTAGAAACTCTTTTGATAAAAGAATACTCTGCCTGTATCCCAAAGCAAACAAATAAAATGATGTCTTGCTACAAGTTAACTGGAAAGTTATTGAATGCATAGTTTTTTAAATTAAATTGACTTAGAGCTATCACCGTAACATCTACAAATGAGTAAAATTTTAGATAAAATTTTAACCTTTTGCCTTATCCCTAGCCAGTGTTTGTTCTTGAAAACTGTAGCCTAGCACATCACTTGTGTATGAAACTTATTTGATGGTATTTTGTAGCTTAAAATTCTTTCATGTATCCAAGAAACCTGGTGCCTATTGATAATGGTATGTTTTCCTGTTATCATTTATAAGAGGGTTTAAAAAACAGAGTAGCATATTTAGAAAAAAAATTAATGACCTATATGATCTTTTGCATTCTCAAGATGTTTGAATGGCTATTTACTTTTAGTCATGCAGAAATACTTGGTTCTGTACTCTGATAGCAATTTTTCTCTCTCAAATTAGGGAGAGGCTCCTCCCGCCACCATAAAACTGGCTTGAATGATAGACTTTTTTTTTTTTTTTAATTGTAATAATAGACTTACTTTTAATTTTGAGGTTTTAAAATGTTTCTTAAAATTATACTTAACTCTAGATGATCAAGATGTACTTAAAATAGAAAAATTGTAGTGCTTTAAAAAATAATCGTGTTGCTCAATGAAATAGTTCTTTCATTTTTATATTTTCTTTACTTTGATCAGGTGGCTTTCTGGTGACTCAGAGAATGCTAGACATGTTCAAACGTCCCACTGATCCCCCAGAATACAATTACCTGTATCTGCTCCCTGGTGGCACCTTTGTTGGAGGATATTTAGCTGCCCTCTACAGTGGTTATAACATTGAACAAGTAAGAGACTCTGTTGAAAGATTTTATTTTTTGCTACTATGTTTTCTTCCCAGTTACTTAGGTTATAGTTACCAGAATTCAACCTCTAGTAAGCAAATGGAACAATAACCCATGGAAACATCTTAGTCATTTAGAACACTGGTCTAAGGTTTAGGAGTCTGGATTTGCTTGTTAACTGAATGTGCAAATATAGGTTTACATTTTGCCCCTAACTTCTGCCATTAATTAACAGTTGAGAGGGTTATTAGTATCCTCTTTATTTACCTGGCTGGATTTTTGTAGGGATACAATGGAATGATCAATAAATATTTGAAGCATTCTTATTATTAAATGCTATTAATCTTTTCCCTACAAATCCCCACAACAGAAAAGTTGTATTCACAATTTCTGTTAAAGAGCTATTGTTATGCCAACTTATTTTTTAAAATTTATTGTGGCAAAATACATATTAAAAAAAATTGCCATCTTACCCCCTTTTAAGTGTGTGATTCAATGACATGGATTGCATTTTCCATGTGGAGTAACTGCCATCACTATTTGTTTCCCAAAGTTTTCATCACCCCAAGAGAAGTGCAATACTCCTTAAGTAATAGCTCCCCACTCTCCACTCCATCCAGCACCTATAACCACTAGTCAATATTTGTGTCTATATTGTTGTACTCTAAATATTTCCTATAAGTGGGATCATACAATATTTGTCCTTTTGTGACTGACATATTTTATTTGGCATGA